TTTTTCTAAGGATTCTGTCTGGTCTTCTCTTTTTTCACGACCACACAAGCTGGAAAAGGCCAGTTTGTTTTAGAGAGGAAGGAGGTCACCCAGCCTCTCTCCTCAAAATAGGTCTGCCCCCAAGATGGGCACCTTGCAGGCTGGTGGCTTTGTCTTTCATACTTGACTGACGATCGGTTTCCAAGGATTTTAATTTAGTCAAACAGGCTCCACAAGGCAAATAGTCCAAGCAGCCGATATCCCGAGCAGAGGCTAATCTGATGGTCCTTGGTGTCTGTACATTCACGGCCGTCATGTGTGGCCAGCCTGCAGTCATGTGGCACCGGAAGGCAGCTGTATCAACAGGCCCCTTGCAGGTCCTCACACGATGCGGCCAGAGATCGAGTTGCACATACAGGAGAAGGAAAGCATGAGGGCCCAGTGGAGACGGAAACCCTCTTGTACACGAAAGGCCTGTGTAGGGAGCACACATTCTGTATTCGGGGCCTGTGTTCTTAGAAAGCTCGGTGTCGGCCACTGTTGTGCAATCACCACTCTTGCTTATCTGCTTGTTAGCTGGGCGGACTTTGAGGTCTCTCTACCCTGGGATATACTGACACTTTGACCAGGAGAGCTCCACCCCAGATGTAGATGGCCACAATGTCCTTGGGATACAGTGTCTAAATTGTCATAATGATTAAAAAGCCATGTAATCGGGGCGCCTGGGTGGCTCAGTCGGTTAAGGGTTCGACTCTTGGTTTTGGCTCAGGTCATGATCTCAGGGTCATGGGATCAAGCCCTAGGTAGTGCCTAAGATTCTCTCTCTCTCCAAATAAATAAACACATACATACATACATACATACATAAGACTCTCTCTCTCCCCTCCCTCTACTTCTCCCTTACTCTCATGCACTTTCTCTCTCAAAAAAAAAAAGCCACATAATAAAAAGGCATTTCTGTGTTCATGGCATTGTGTGTTCTCTGCGTGACAGGTGTATCTGGGAGGAAGAGCCAGTACATCTGGTTCAGGCCCAGGCTCCACGTTAATCAGCTGCGGAGGTCAATTTTTGCCTTTGGGCCTTGGTTTCCTCAACTGAAAACTGACTGGTTTTTAGCCCCCATCCTCTTCTGGCTCCAGCCTTCTCTGAGTTGCTGGGAACACACATTAAAGAACCACAGGCTGTAGGTAAAACGGGGAACACAGAGCCTGGCACAGAGCCAGGGATGTCAGTATTGTTCATCATAGGAATAATCAGCAATATTTAGGGCAGAGATTCTCACTCTGGCTGTGACAAAGGCCACATCTGGCCACTGGGGCAAGTGCCCCCAGCAAATTGCAAGGCTGGAACTCGTCCGGTATGTCGCCCTCGTGAAGCCTCGTCTCACCCACCCAGCCATGCAGCGCTCAGAGTCCTGGGAAGCCCCCTTCCCTCTTTGCCTCCCTCTGACCCCTTCTTTGAGAGTCTCCCTCTCCCCCCTGGTAACTGGCTAAGCCCATCTCACTCTTTACCGTCAGGGAGACCTACAGACAGAACCACTTGCTGTATTAGGTAGGCAAAGTGTTCACACTTTAAAAAAGCTGAAAGCGATCGGCATGAACTCGTGACCGGGTTTCAGGCAAAGCCGACAGGAAGACGGGCGAAGTGGCAGGATGGGTAAGTCCCCAGGGCTCCATCGCGCAGCTGTGCTTGGGCTGAGCCCTTGACTCAACCTTCCACAGCGCCCTGACCTCTGAGGTGGAAACTGGCATAGTTGAGTCCGTGTCACGTGTCACAGGGCAGGTTACAAATAGCACGGGGATTGGCAAACCCATCCCGAAACTCCTGGTTCAAGGGCAGGGAAAGTTACCGCTTTGCTGCCGACCATTAACAACTGAGAAGCGGAAGAGGGGGTTCTATGGCAAAGAGCGTTAGGTGTGAGTGCGGAAGGGACAGAGCTGACCTGCCAAGGGCCTGCTTCAGTGTTGGAGCGAGGACCTCATGCCTGAATGGCTCAGGTATGGAGCACCTCGTCTCACATTCTAAATAGAGCGCACGTTTCGGTGACCTGGTGCGTCCATAACGCGTTCGCGGTCGGGGAGCTGGCAGCGGGGGACTCGCTCCAGTGACCGCCGTCAAGGTCTCCGGAGCGGCAGGAGGGCCGCCAGGGAGACCCTGGGAGGAGGAGACCCAGGGAGACCCGGGGAGACCGCCAGGGAGACCGGTCCCGGACCGCGTCGTGGCCGAAAGCGCAGCCTCAGGAACGCGGGGCCCGATCCTGCCTGGGCCACGGCCACATCGGAAAGAGGCCAGGCGCTTCCCCCGCCTCAACTCTGCGCCCTGAGCGCCCGGTTCCCTTCCTGCTGCCCGGATCTCGGCCCGCGCGGCGCGCAGTTCCGGCAGCCAAGAGGAGAACCTCAACTCGCCTCCCCCCTACCTCGCACGGCTGAGGGCCAGGGAGGTGGCGGGGGTGCCCATTTTTCCCGGATTCCTCGCGCGCACGGTCACGGGCGAAGCGGCCACATCTGCCAGCCTTGGGCTCCGAGGCCGCCCCTCGTCACCCACCGCCGCGCGGGACGCGCCTCCGGCCCCGCAGGGCAGCACCCGGTGGCGGCGCCCTGCCCCGCCGTGCCCCCGCCGTGCCCCCGCCGCCGCGCCCTCTCTGGCACCGCCTCCTTCTGTAAATACAGTGGTGGCCCGCCCTCCGCGCCCGGACGCGCAGGTGGAAACGGGCGGTACGGGCCGCCACTGGAGGCCGCGCCCAGCCGGGTGCCCAGTGCCAGCGCCGCCCCGCCGAGCGCCCACCCCGAGGCCGGCGCCAGGCTCCCGGGACGCGTGCTGGCGCAGGCAGTGCGCACGCAGGACGAAGCCTCAGGTGAGCGCTCCGGCCTCCGCGCTTCTCTGCACTCCCGCGCGGCCAAGTCTTGGTGCGGGGAGCGGCGCCGGCGCGGAGGACCCCGAGCCGAAGCTGCGGGGGTGGGAGCCGCAAGCCTAGCCCCTGGGGGCTGTTGTTGCGCTCGGGCTCCCTGAAACCCACGGAAAGATTCCCTATACAAGACTCGGGGCTGGTTTTACCTCGATCCCCAAACGCAGCAGAGCCTTGGGCATGGTGAGATGCTGCTGATTTGGAATTGTCCTTTGGAAAACAGTGGTGGAGAGGTAGATTTGGCTTTGGGGAAATTAAATGTAGGCTGGTATTTGGAAAGGGTTTAATTTTCTGTTAGTGTAGATGTTTTTGTGTCCGTTCGTGAATGCGTGTATGAGACAGACAGACAGACTTGACTGCCTACATTATTATGGATGAGGGATTGATATGTATCGCAGGTGTTTAGTCCACTTGTCCGTGGACTAAAACATATCCAGTTTTAGGCTTACTTTTACTTTACTAGTATTTGGGGAATTCGCCTTAAGACATTTGAAGCCTTGTGACTCGCTTCAGAGTTGAAGGTACCAGGAATTCAGTGAATTCCTCGTAGGACTTTGTAACAGAGAATCACCCTTATCTCTGGAACCAGCACAAGAGATTACATGATTCAGATTTCTGTTTTTTAAATTAGTTCAATATTTTCTTTAAGTGTTTGTCTCAGCATATTCCGTCTTCACAAATACAGTTTGCCCAGGTTTAAAATGGAAGCTTATTTCCCTCCTAGATTTCCTTTTTCCAGCTTCCTTCTGATTCGATTGTACTGTTTCCTGGAAAAGTACTTCCTAGTATAAGACCAGCTATTTGTTTTCTTTACTTAAATTGACCCTCCTTGGACATGACTTGGGTTTGTCAGGACGGCCTTGGCTTTACAGCCTCAATCTTGAGCTCCTTCATGTCATCATGGATACAAATGGCACAAAATATTTTAAGTTTTCTTTCCTTGAGCCAGTAAAAATGGTCTTCACACTTGGGTTGTCTTTTCCACTGCCCCAACTTAAAGGGTCCTGGTAAAATACTCCACTCATGAGAGTAAGACAAGATAACTAAGATTATAAAGTCAATCTGCATACGCTAGACAATTATTAACAATTGATTCGGGTCCACTTAATATATGGTGATACCAGCACAGGGCTTGGGTGATCTTGTGGGGAGGTGCTTTCCCACTTGATCTCACTTACACTCTCCGTTCAAAGTCAAGTGCTGTTGCTGTTTTGTGCTTTTTTAACTGGTGATTTTATCAGCTGCTTATTTTTAACGGAGCCTAAACCTTTTTGTGGAAGTGAGAGGCACCTTGGAGGAGGGTACGTGAGGGGCCACCTGCACACCTGGGAGACAAGGCTCCTCCTGACCTGCTGTGCCAGACTCCCCTGGGTCACCCCGGCCTAGTCAGCCGGGCCCTGGAGTTCCAGTGCCTGTGTGAGAACTCAAGAATCACATTTTGACAGAGTTAACTTAAAATCCCCCAAACTCACTGTGTTCCTGAACTGCCTTCCCCTTCATTGGAAACAACTGAATTGGGCCTCCTGCAGGTGTCCTGGCCTTAGAAGAAGGCAGGGGAATGGAAAGTTGCCGCAGTCTGAAATAGGAAATGGAAAGTTAGTTACTGAACAAAAATTTATCGACTCGGAAATGCTCAGAGCAGCTGTGATGAAACGTGGGATGTCTGTAAATCAGAAATAATCCCTGTGGTTCTTCCCTTACTCACCACTGTTTTGGGGGTTGTTTTGTTTTGGTGTTTTTGCCCCAGGGAAGGGAGTTTGTAAGACTCATAACAGGAAAAGCCACACCCAGTTACTTCTCTTGTATGGGGTTTGTTTTGTTTTTTTTTTTTTTTAAAGATACTCTTAGGTGCATGGTAATTGCATTTCCTCTTCTTGAATATCTTCATAAAATTACATATTCAGGAGTTTCTGAATGCCAGTGCTTCTGACTCATAAACCAACTCATTGTTCACCAGTGTATCACTTGCATCAAGTTCTATCCCCTATGATTTCATCCTGGAGTGATTTCTGAAATGGCCAGGGCGGGTCAGGAACACCTGTGCCCACTTTAATTTGGTGTTTGGCTGTATTTTCAGAGCTGTTGAAACCACTGGAGGGAAGGAAATCCATCCTGCCTGGTTCTGGGGAAGGGGCCTCTCCTGGCCATGTCTCCTGTAGCTGCTGCTGAGCCAGATGGGGTCCAGCGAGACAGGCGTGTCAGCAAGTTCATTTTCTTCCTTTTTGTCTTTGGTGGCATCCTGTTGTGTGTGGGAGTCCTGCTCTCCATCTTTGGGTTCCAGGCATGCCAGTACAAAATCTTCCCAGACTGCAGCATGGTGCTGAAGGTCGCTGGGCCTGCCTGTGCCGCGGTTGGGCTTGGGGCTGTGATCCTGGCCCGCTCGCGGGCACGACTTCAGGTCCGTGAGGGACGCCTGCGGGGCAGCCAGGCGGACCCCGACCGAGCCTTCATCTGTGGAGAGAGCCGCCAGTTTGCCCAGTGCCTCATCTTTGGGTTTCTGTTCTTGACAAGTGGCATGCTCATCAGCATTCTGGGCATTTGGGTCCCCGGCTGTGGTCCAGACTGGGCGCAGGAACCCCTGAATGAGACAGACACTGCCGACATGGAGCCCCAGATCTGTGGATATCTGTCCCTGCAGATCATGGGGCCCTTGATTGTACTCATGGGACTGTGTTTCTTTGTGGTTGCCCACGTTAAGAGAAACAACTTGAATGAGGGCCAGGATGCCTCCGAAAGTGAAGACAGACAGACGCAGAGCACGGAGCCTGTCCATGTCACTGTAGGTACGTAGCTGTCATTCCTGGGCACGCTCACATCACGGTGGCTGTTGTATCAGGGCTTTGCTGGGTTGTCCTTGGGTCTGGCCTAGGTTCTCCCTTTTCTCTGTCTCTCTTACACAGCCATGCACTCATGCACATGCGTGCATACGCACGCGCGCGCACACACACACATAGCTGCTGCTGTGCTAAGCCCTGTAAGAATCCTTGCGCACATCATCTCCTCCCAGCAATTCCTTGTGATCGAGCAAAAGCTTTGGGACATTAAGTCATGACCTTGACTGAGGTCACAGAGCAAATTAGGAGGAAAGTGAGAGAAAGTGCTAGCATAGCCTGGGAGCCTTCTGTCACGTTAGAGACCCGCCAAGTGACCTTGAAAGCTAGGGCACTTTGTGTTGGACGTGTAGATTCTCATCTCTGGCTGTCGCTGGCTGGCTGTCCTTGGTAAGTCCTTAACCCCTTCTGGCCTGAGTTTATGCATCTATAACGTGAGCATCGCATTGCTAGGATCCCTCCCAGAACCAACATTCTAGGATTCTGTCTGCCCCAAGTCCGTAGATCTTCTGTGTTTTGAGGGGGGCTTTCCACACCATTTCCCACATTGTTCTCTATTTTCCGTAACTTTATCCTTGGCTTCAGGGCGGAGGCCAAGTTTGGAAATAGTGGCATCGACAGTGATAAAGCATGGTTGCACCTGTCACTTCTTTCCCCCATGGAATGCCGAGAAACGACTTTTGCGTTCTCTGGGTTCTGCAGAAGAGATGGATTACTATTTCCTGGAGTCAGCCCCCTACATCACAACATAAGTAGCTTTGGCCTCAGTTTCACACAACCAAGGAGAAACCCCGCCGCTGCTCATTTTCAAAAATCACTTTGTTTTTTCAGTCTCCTACTTTTGAAAGGGTAAAACTCTGAAGCCATAGCCTGACATCTAAAAGGCTAGGCAGAGAGCATTATGGGGCAGAAACCCCGGAGGGAAGTGGGGAGTGTGGTGAAAGGGATGTTTCTCATGGTTGGGGCGGTCTGCTGGAGGAAATGTTACTCACTGGGGGAAACCCCTGGACTTCCAGCCTTGCGTGGCACCGGCCTTGGTGAGCAATGGCAGACGGACTTACAGACCAATCCTGGAGCCGCGGGTGAAACTCCCAGGCTACTATTTGTGTATTTATATATTTACGGTGACCACACCAATATCAGTTATATATTAATAATAGCTAACACAGATATGGGGCTCATTCCAGGGCCAAATACCCATCCAAGTGCCCTTCAAGGGCCTACTCTGTCAAAGCTGTTCACACCTACAACAACCCAGTGAGGCAGATACTCTTAGTATCTCTGTGTTAGGGATGAAGAAACTGAGGCACAGGGATATCACATAACTTGCCAAGGTCACAGACTAGCAAGTGGCAGAGCCGGGCTCCAAACCCAGGCAGGGGACACGCATGGACTCTGGCCCCCACAGAGCACCAGGGAGGGCCTCTGGGCACATGGCTGTGATTCTGTTTCAGCTGGTTTCATCCTTCCCCAAGTGTTGTGGGTAGCTGTTACATGACTAAAGGGCTTGCCCTACGTTATAGATCTGCTCAGGCCTTTTGGGGTATGCAGTGGGGACAAGTAAATACACTCACTTGAAGCTCATAGTATTCCACGTAGTTGGGAGCATTTCAGCATGTGCCCTGTGGGTTTACTATCAGAGGATCTGTGGGGCCCGGCCTCCCTCCTGATGGCTGGAATTGGGGGGCAGCAGAAAGCAGGGCTGCTGGTGCTGGGACCTAGTGACTCCCGGCTGGGGTGGGGGGGTCGCTTAAAATCTTTTCCACTTAACCCTTTAAGTTCCATCAAACCTGTGGAAGTCTGGTAGCCTAACTCCTTGTTTTTCTCTCCTTTGATATTATGGGATAGGGTTGAAATGTTTAGAAACCATGCCTGTTAGCCTAACTGATAAGAACCTAGACACTGTCAGTGGTCGCTTCTGCCTTATGAGGAACTGGGGTGAAGAGAAGCAGTTCTTGGCTAAGTCCCAGAATTCAGCTGTTCCCCAAATGGAAGCCCCTCCTCCCCAGACACATGATACCCCCACTGGGGGCACACTCAGCGCTGGGTCCTGGACACACAAGCAGGGGCATGAGACAGCCCTCCCTTGAGGGATGTCTGCTGTCAACTCAGAGAACATCAAGTCCTGCAGGACATAGTGAAAGGGAAACCCAGGGAGGATGGGACTGCTTTCAGGGAGAGCAGGTTGCAAGGCTCGGGGAGGGAAGGGCAGGGAACTGATGGGCAGAGGCTTCGACAAGCCTCAAACACGGCTGGTGACTGCGAGCACTTCCTTGTTTGCATTGGAGAGGTGGCTGGCCTGCTCTGGAGGCTTGTTCCCAGCTCCTTTGTTCTACATTGTGTAATTAACAATCGACCTTGCTTCCTCTAACCTACCAAGACCTGTGAAAAAAATTAAATGAGAAGCCCAAGATAACCATTACCTGTTTTCAAGTTTAGGTGAGCGCTCTCTTAAGCCCTCGTCATCACATGCTTGTAGGAGGAGAGAAAGAGTTAACACATTTTCGGAAGGGCTCCCTCCCCTCTGGGGGAGCCACCGTGGCAGCAAGGAGAGGGGCTGCCTGCTGGGAGGGTTTGGTCACACATGCAAATCAGGGCTACTGGCTGGCGGCTGCAGCCGGTGCAGAAAGCACCTCTGCGGGTGTGTTCCAGCTGTGAGCGTTTGCTCCGCGCCTGGCACTGCTGTCCCCACCACACACCAGCCCGGCCCTCCTGCCTGTTCGCTGAGGCAGCAACAGTTATGGATGGCCTGCAGTTCACCGATGCAGCAGCTGAGGCCGGTGGGGGTCAGATCCCTTGCTCAGGGCCACACTGGGCCGGTAATTGGCAAATGGCACGCTGGTAACGCTCAAGAACCCCGTGCTTACCCACCCAAGCGTCAGATCCGCTGCCATGCAGATCGCTTGCCTCCTTGCCGCCAACTGAAGTCCTCTCCCCTTCGTTCCTCCCGCGCTGTCCTTTGGTGCTGCCAGCTTATCAGAGGCTGCCCTCAAACCGCTATGGAGTGGTGCTGCCACGTGTCTAGAATGTTCTGGGCAACTCACGTGCTGCATTTTGTATTGGAATTGGAGTACCAATGAGGGCTTGCGTCTGGTGTCTGTTTCTCCTCCCCAAAATATGGGATGTATTCTGGAGTGAAGAGCAGCTACAGAAATGCAAACAGGAAAAAACAAAACAAAAACCAAGCTTATCTTTGAGTGTGACTTTCTTTTGTAAAGCGTGGCTGAAATGTTGGCAGATAAAAGCTATGAAGACGGGCTGTGGCCTCACCTGTTGTCCTCTGTTCAGAGGCTAAAACTGCACGTAAGGAAGTGACAGTTGACAGTTTAAAATTTCAAGTTGAGAATGAGAAAGCCTTTGCAGCAGGAGGCATCCCAAGGAAGCAAATACTTAGAAATGCTTGAGCTCAGACTTACTAGGATAATATTGGCCCACTGCTTGAAAAAATTGTGGTACAATATATGTAACATAAAATTTACCATTTTAAGCATTTTTTAGTGGACAGTGACATTAAGTACATTCGCAGTGTTCAGCCATCACCACTAACAAGTTCTAGAAGTTTTTCATCATCAAAGAGAAACTGCCCCCATTAAACACTCACTCGAATCCCCCAAGCCTCGCCCCAGTCCCTGGCAACCTCCACGCTCCCTCTCTGTGAATTTGCTAGGCCCACTTTTAAATTCTGGAGTTAGCATAGGGGTTTTGACCTTTTATATTCACGGGCCAAATATATAATTAATTCATTTTATTCTTGCTAATGTGCTTGTCTTCAATGAAATAATTGTGTTTCCTTAGGTGATGCCGTGATAATATTCCCACCCCCACCACCACCTTACTTTCCTGAGTCTTCAGCTTCTACAGTGACTCCGAGTCCTGGGGCTAATGGTTTGCTTCCAAATGAAAATCCGCCTTCATATTACAGTATTTTTACCTATGGGTAAGACTTTGCATTTGAACTTCAAGAGTAGGCATGTTTAACTTTCTCAGGCCTGTGCCTGAACTCAGGCCAAATTAGCTTTGTACCATAGTACAGGAATAAACATTACAGTGTATCTTTTTTGCTGACATCATATCAGAATTATTGCCTTAATATTAAGAGTACCTTTGGGGAAATGTTGGGCAGCACATACATTAAAAATTATAAAAGTGGTTATGCCGGGTTAAATACGAAGCTTCCTCCAGGCATCTTCATGTACCCCTGGCAGGGGTGATCCTCCAAATGTTTAACCCTTTATTAGCCAGACTGAGCACCAGAGCAGGGCTTGGGAGGCCCCCTCCTATGTTAGGCTTTGCCACTTTAGATGAAGGGGAGACACGGGGGTCCTAGGGGACCTCCAGCAGGTACAGAGGGTTTCAGCATCTCACGGAGGAACTTGGGTGACTGACTGATAGCCTGCACCCTGACCCATCCAAGCTGGACTTCTCCTCTCAATCTGAAGTTGTTCCCTGGGCCTCAGAGCCTTCTCAGATTGAATGAAGGGAAATCCAAGATTCACACCCCCACCTCCCGTCCTCCCCATATGCCACAAATTAGGAGGCATACCTGGGGTCAGATTAAATGCCATCCCTTCAGGCAGAGGGATGCAGTCGAAGGTTTCAGACCTTCATGGAACCAGTGCAGCTCACAATGTTGGAAGGCTGGTGGTGGCCAGACCAGTTGGGGGGCTGGCTTCTGTAGACACTGAGAAGTAGGACCCAGGAGACCCAGAGAGAATGCTGGGGATGGACACAGCCTCACCTGGTCATTCATGTTTTAAGGCACACGTTCTTCTTGAGCTTCAGACAGGGTGGTGGGCCAGAGATCCAGACAGAGGCGGGTATAGGAATTGTCCTGCATGGATGAAAGGGAGGTTAGGTTCTGGACATTTGTATAATTCTGTGAGTGAATTTTTGTATTCTTTTCTCCAATGATGAACTTCCCCAAGCCCTAAACAAATGTCTTGTAACTTAAAACAAACTCGTACTTGCTACCACCACAATTTCTGTGTGCCACCGCCTGGCTTTACTTGCATTCTCTCAGGTCATTCTCCTGGGTAGCCGAGACAGCACTCTTGTCGTCCCCATTTTACAGATGAGGAGACCAAAGCTTAGTGAGGTGAAATTACTTGCTCAAGATCGCACAGCTGGAAAGCAGTGGAGGGGCAGCTCAGAGGCATGTCTGCCTGTTGCTAGAATGCACCCCAGTACCCAGTATGCTTTCTTGCCTCCCTTCACGTTTTTGGCTTACTGATTTAATTTTCTCTTTGTATCAGTTTGTCTACCTTATGTTAGCTGTCTCTGAAGACAAAACAGTATAGAACAGTAACTGCATGTGAGTATTCTTTTAGGACGGCAGTGACACGTTCCTACCTCGTGTCTTCTCAGTGACAAGGGAAACAGCCACAGGGTGAGACTGTCTTAATGTGACAGCAGCTGTAAGGAAGGAAAGGGGCAAGGAATCAAGGCGCATCTGTAAGAAATAGAATAGGGCAGAAATTATTCCTTAGACCCTTGCAAACGCTCCTAAACACCTATAATCAAACATTTGAAAAGAACCTCATCCTCACGATGTGTTACTGTTCCCCTCTCTTCCCTTTCTGTCCTCCCTCCTTTTAAGTAGGACCCCAACTCCTGAGGGCCAAGGCGCGGCCTCCGAGAGAGATCGTGAATCTGTATACACCATTTCTGGGACTGCTTTGTCCTCTGAGATCTCAATCACTCCGCATCTCTCCTCTGAACTGCCTCCCAGATACGAAGAAAAAGAAATGGCGGCAACCACAACCTCATCTCCATCTTCTGAGCCTTCCCCACCGTGAACTGTGGATTCCAGTTCCATTTTCTATAAAATTGATCACTATTTTATTTAATTTGTTTTTTAATAAAAAAAAATACAATGGCATAGGCTCTGTTCTGATTTCCCTGCACGTTCTGGATCAAGTGTGCTCTGGACCACGGGAGACGCCATGCGCCTCGAGCCCGCCCGTAAGCTGGTTGTCTGAGACCTGCTACATCCAAAGTGGGGGATGAAGAAACAACGGCCCTGAGAGGCTAATCAACTTATTGCAGGTCACACTGCTTCTAAATAGTGAGGCTGGGTTTTGCGCCAATGCCGCTGGGTTCCGGAAGTCGTTACCCTGTGCTGTTCAAAAGCTGACCAGACGCAGTTGTTCATGGTTAGCCTGGTCCATTCCGTTTTCCAATGTTAACTGCTTCTGGGGCAGAGAAACTAGATTACTCTCTTCGTTTCTTGATTATTTCTTCTTCCTCTTCTTTTCTTCCCTCTCTTCCTTCTTCCTCTCCTATTCTCCTTTCTTTCTTTCATTTTGCAAGTAGGTAATTAGGCCTTTCACACTGGGGCAGTTTCAGCTCACTGATACCCGGAAGTCTCCTTATGGTGAAGTGATACTTTCAGGAAAGAGGTTTCTTGGGCTCCTGGAATAACTCGATTCCCCTGGAGAGGTCCGGGAAGGAGGTGCCTTTCTGTTATAACATACTGCTCCGACTGCGTGGACCGCCGACTTTTATTCTCATAAGACTACTGATGAACCAAAGCTTCTGTAGAGTTGGGCAGCATGGTAAGTATTTAATTCTATATATAACCCAGAAACAATCACTAAGTATTAGCAGTTCTACCTGGGAGAAACTGCCTTTGAGAAAATGCAAATCTATAGTAACAGCAGTGTTAATAACACAATTTGGTGTAGCAAAAATGTGAGCTTTTTACGCCTTTACACAAGACATAATCCCTATAAAAATCTGTATTACCCAGCAGTTAAGTGCTTAAAAGCAGAACTTAAGGGCGCTGATGCTCCAGTAGTTTGACTGAAGTAATGACTGATTTCACGGGAATTGCCACCACAATAAATCCTGGGAGGTCGTCTGTACTAGCAGCACTCATCTGTCTCCGCATTGGACATTTATTGGATTGAACTGCTCTTAAAATTCTGCTGTTTTTTCCTCCTGGCAGGTTAATTATTCACATTTAAAATTAGAACAAAGGGTAGATTATTACCACTTCCTACTGCTATTATTTGTTTAAAATGATGAAGCTGAAATTTCTAGGTAGACTGACTTAGTTTTAAACTCAATAACCAAGGATGGCTTGGCTTGGTTCAATGGCTCAGAGCTGGGGTTTGTAACTATTTTATCTTTATATGCTAATAAAATTAAAATGCAGTTAGAAATTCTTAGGCGTAAGTCTGACCTTCTGGTTAGGGAAGTCTATTCAGCCTCTGTCAGTCTCCATGGTGTTCAGCAAGGTGAAGCCTGGTGGAGCCTGGAGAAGCCAGAGCATTGTGAGAGGTCCCCCGGGGTGAAGCTGTTTATTGCCGGACTGAAGTCACAGGTGGCAGAGCTGGGGCAAATTATTTAGTCATGGAAGATGCATCCTATGCTGATCAAGGTTCTGGCAAAGGGTGACAGCTTCCGAAAACCTACCTGGTGGACTGTTACTTGACTTTTCCTTCGTATGTGTTAACGTTTCTTTTTAATTGAGGCAAAATTAATATAACATAAAATGAACCATTTTAAGGTGAACAATTCAGTGCCTTTTGGTATATTCACAGCATTGTGTAACCACCTCCTCTATCTGATTCCAAAATATTTTCATTACCCCCAAAGAAAACCCATTAAACAGTCACTCCCCATTGCCTCCCTCCCCCTACCCCTTGGCAACCACCAATCTGCTCTGTCTCTGTAGATTTACCTTTCCTGGGTATTTCATGTTTTTGAGATTCATCCACACCATAATACATATCAGTACTCCATCGCTTGTTAGAGTGGAGTGATACTGCCTTGTATGGATATGCCATAGTTTATTCGTTCATCCATTGGTGGATATCTGTTGTGCCCTCTTTTTGGCTGTTCTGATGAGTGCAGCTATGGACATTCATGTACAAGCTTCGATTGTTCTAATTCTTTTGGTTGTACACTTTGGGAATGGAATTGCTGGACCATATGCTAACCTTAAGTTTTTCAGGAAATGAAAACTGTTGCCCACAGAGGCTGTACCGTTTTCCATTCCCACCGGCAGTGTATGAGAGTTCCAATTCTTCCACACCCCCACCGACACTTGTTATTTTCTGTCATCATCACCACCATCATCATCATCACCACCATCACCATCATCAACATCATCATCACCACCATCACCATCATCATTACCACCATCACCATCATCAACACCACCATCACCATCACCATCACCATCATCACCATCACCATCATCACCACCACCATCACCATCATCACCACCATCACCTCACCATCATCATCACCATCATCACCATCATCATCACCATCACCATCATCACCATCACCATCATCACCATCACCACCATCACCATCACCACCATCACCACCATCATCATCATTATGACTATAGCAACCCTAGTTAGCATGAAATGGTGTCTCATTCTGGTTTTCATTTCCATTTCTCTAGTGACTAAGCATATTGAACATCTTCCCACGTGTGTTACCTGTTTTTGAAGACCCAAATGTTATCGTCAGTAGCATAGAAAATCTTATTCCCTAGTTCCCTCCTATGGTGTTGGGATGTGTGAGAGCCACCTTGTGGAAAACCATGATGAGCTCTGCAAGTTCAAGTGGGACAACCCACACCGGGTACACTGTGTTGCTACACTGCCTCCATGCCATGAGAACCTGTTCTTGTGAATTCTTTGTCCTCTCCTGGGGTCAGTGAAGTGGACTCACCCAGTCAACAAATTCTACTGAAACGAAAGCAAATGTTGGACTAGGCAAAGTCCCTTGGCTATTTCTTCAGTTTACAGGCTAAGGAGGAATGCAACAGGCCAAGGGAAGCGTGTTTTCAGAGGATGAGAGCTGAGGGGGAAGCAAGTATGTGGTCATCCAATTTCACCTGAGAGATTCCACCTGAGAGGTTCCATCTGAGAGTGGGATGGGGCAAGGCCTCTGGGACATCCTGGTGTGATGCGACTATTGTTTTCTTATATGGTTGCTTTGCAGAGGAATGAGGCCGGGAGGGTGGTGGGTGGCCCCAGAAGGGAGGCACCATTCCAGAGCAGGTCATAGGAAAGGAATGGGTCTAAAGATAGGAAGTGAACCTCAGAAGGTGGCCTTAGGCGGGCAGAAGACAGACGGTAGTCTGGTGGAATCTATGAGGGTCCACAATGATAAGAACCAGTATTAATTGTTGAAAAAGTTAATGTCCTGAGTTCCATTCCAGACTGGGCCAATAAATCCAAATCTCCAGGAGAGTAGTGTTTATCAACTGGGAACCTGGGAAACACTGCCAGTGGGGACAGTAGAAACTGCAGAGGCAATGCCATGTGGGCCGGATTATCTGGGATTATGAGCCCCTTGTGACTTCTAGGCCTTCCAGAAAGCCCTGTTTACACATCCCAGCCCATGCTAAGGGTCCTAAAAGGGAAGGATGTGGGTTTGCCGTCAGCCCCCCAGTGTGGTTGGGGGCTTCACACAGTCTCACCAGTCCAGTCTTCAGGGCAGCTCTGTCAGGGATGTGTGAGACAACCCCAGGGTCATGGGGAAACCAAGTCAGAGGGCCTTGCCTCCTTCATATGGGGAGTCCTCCTGAATTTCCAGACTGGGGGACATTGGACTCATTTATTCGGGAAGGCATGGTTTTGTCTTTGCTTCTTTGTGTTGGAAGCAGTCAGGACCACTGGGTGCCTACAGCTGGGAGCATTGATGATGTTTGTCCAGACCAGGCGGAACGGAGGAAAACGTTACTCAGGTTGAAATGGAAAATGCTTGAAAATGTCCAAGTGGGAAATAGTATGGGAGTAGTATGAGGGTTCCTTCCTCTCAGTGCCTCTCAGCCTCTGATAGGTGAGTTAGGAGAGCTCCCCCGGTCAGACTGGTGGGCTGGGCTCCACCTGCTGCCACCCTGGGAACAGGAAACCCTGATCCTTGAGCCTCTGGTGTCGGTACTTCTCCAAAGGAGAGAGAAGTTGGGAAGCACACTGCAGCGATGGTAGGTGGGCCAGAGGGGTGAAATGTCCTCTGACCCTTGGTGGGGAACGATGCATGGTCTGTCTGCTTCATGCCACGAGCCCTCCTGGGATCTGGCATACCTTGGTTTCTTGAAGTATGCTGCCAGCGACACAAGTACCCCAACAGGAACAAAGGAGAGACTTGGATGCAGCTTTGTGGGGGTGGGGGAGCGGAGATTCTGGCTGGGTGAAGCATGTGACTGCTTGAAAACGGTGTCTGTCCCTCACCTCACTCAGAGGAGTGCCCATCCCTGCTGCAGGGTGGGGGTAGGGGCTGAGATGTGCTGGAAGTACAGCGACTTCACTACTCCATCTGTTTTCTGGAGGCTGCTTGGGCCTGAAGGGCCCAGAAGCTGGGTAAAGTGGGTCGGTGGGGGTAGATGAGCCACCACTGATGTTGCGTGCCCAACCACTCAAAGGGCACTTATTCAAAGGCCCTTAGGCACTAACTTGCCTCCAAGATTCTCATCCTCAGGTTCTGAAACTTTCTTCCCCCTTCATGGGGCTCAGGTAGTAAAGTTGCTAGGAGCGGAGCCCCCCGCTGCTGCTCTCTCTAGGGAAACTGCTGGGTTGTGGGGGGCTGGAGCCCAGCTCTGACAGGTGCAAGGCCAGGCCAAGCGGTTTCCCTGCTGTGTCTCCTCCCTGCTGCTCTATGAGAAGTGACAAGTTATTACAGGTCCCAGGGGTGCAGTGTGGCAGAGCCTGACGTCCTTCACCAGGCCTGTGTCCTTCACGGCTGTGCGCTGCGAAGGGAACTTGATGCCCAGTTAGACGTGGCCACGGGGAGGTTACTGCTCCGTTCCCACGCTGGCCTGTTTCTGGGGTGCCCTTCAGCCCTGGAAAGGAACTAGACTGCAGTCCAGCTCCTATAAGGGCCTCCTCTCTTCATAGTAGGCTGCTGGCTTTG